GTTGTAAAGAACTTCAGTGATATGGTCAAATTTCTTGGTCCTTGTGATGAGGCGTGCCGCAGTATTTTGAACGAGTTGGAGCTTACGAATGTTCGTCTGGGCAATGCCGAAGAGGAGACTGTTTCCATGGTCAATCCTTAATGTAACAAATGAATGTACTAAATGTTTTGTGGTTACATTAGTTAGGTACTTCCTGATGGAACTAATATTGCGTATATGAAAGTATGATGATTTACAAATACTATTCACACGATTTTCCATGGTCATATGCTTGTCGAACTCAATGCCAAGATCACGAGCAGAAATCAAAGAAATATCATCAACAATTTTGACTTTTAATTTATACACCATAAATGTACATAATTTATTGATTCAACACTATTTTTTGCTAAAGTTAAAGCTTCTTCCATTATCCACAGCTTACAAAAAAAAAAAAAATTAAAATGCAGTTTAGTGATCATTCAGTGATGGCATTTAAGCCATGTTTTATATATCTTTGGTATACCCTATTTTTGCTCTTTTACGCTGGGGTAATATGTTCACATTGGTTTTCCCTTACAAAATTAAGTTGTAACAGGATGCAAAAGACTAAATGTAAATAAGCTAAACAACAATGATTGATTAATTAAAGCACAACAAATAATTATTTTTCCTATAATTTTAACATTTTTTATTCAAAACGACACCATATTTATATTTCATTCTTATCAATAGGAAACCTTGGAAAAACTAGGTCTGCTACAACACTGACAGATCCAGGTGCTTTTACTGAGATGGTGAAGTCAGTCATACCACCATTAACCTTTGACAAACATAAAGGCCAAGCTGGAAGAGTTGCTACAATTGGTGGATCATCATCCTATACTGGTGCCCCATTTTTTTCGGCCATGTCAGCTCTTCGACTGGTTAGTATCTCAAGTCAAATAAATACACATACTGTATGTGTATGGTAACTCAGACTTACCCAAACTAATTAAAAATAAGATCATAATATTGGAATTTTTTAACCTTGATCTTGGACATGTTTTTATTCAGATCGGTAAGTGCTGTGCAAATGGTGAAAATCAAGGCATTCATACATTTATGTGAATTTTTTTTATACGGGGTAAACTACTCGTCTCCAACAGAATTATTGTTACATTTGAACACTTTTTTTGTTTATTTATATTTGATGCAGAAGCGCTAAACATGTCACATATGAAGGGAATAGTGCAATTGTTGTTGTTGCCATTTCAGGCTGTTGTTTTCTCTCATTAAAATACTACTAGCAATAAGATGTTTATTAATTAGGTTTTCGTGAGAATACCGCAAAATATGTACTTAAGCAGTACAATGTTGCAGGTTGCACGACCTCCACTACACATTTGTTCATACAATTGCCGTATTGTCTTTGTGCATTATTTGCGGTATTCTTATGATAACTCATATTACAACAGAAATAAATATTTTGATATTTGGTGTCTTCTATACTCATTATAATGGTATTCAATTCAATCTATTGTGAATTATCATCAATATTGTTTGTGTTCTGAATATAATACTAACCATTGTTTAAATTTGTTACAACTTTTATTTTTCATCCTATGTGAGTGACTTGTATGTGTGTACAGTTGATTGTTGATATACTCAACTACTAAGCCTATACACCCCTGTTCTTGAAATGGTTGAGACCTCATATTTGCTGCATATTGTTAGAAAAGAAAAAATAGTGATTATCAAATTTATACATAGTTTAATTTTAATGCATTTTTGTGATTTTCTAGGGTTGTGATTTATCCATTGTGTTCTGTACCCCGGACTCTTCTGTAGCAATAAAGTCGTACAGTCCTGAGATTATTGTGCATCCTTTTCTGTAAGTATCTTTCTCAAATCTAAGTGAAAGTTTATACTGAGTTTTGAAGACCCATGCCAACTGTGGCTGAAACAAACCATTATCTAAAAAATAACAAATTAACTATTGGGCACAGTGGCTAATAACAAATTAACTATTATCCATTGTGATTTAGGGGAGAGTAGGAAATCAAACGGGCGGTGTACCGCGGTCATTACCGCGGTGGTGGTGGGTACTCGCCGGTCGACCGCATTTTATGCAAATTTATGCATAGATTCCATGATGCCGGCTGACCGCGGTCTTCCGCGGTGGGCTCGCACAGCAATTCACACTTATTGTCAAGACCATAAAGGAACACAAAGAACTGGGAAATTAAAAGGATCACAAAGTTCTAATGAAAAATTAAGCCAATTTGACTGAGCCAAAAGCTAGGAAACTAGTCTATAATAGTTAACATTATTTTATTTGCCTGAGCCTTGGAATAAAATTACAAAACGACCCAGAAAGACGTAGGGATCAACATAGTATAAAATATGATCGCATTATTTTGTGAATATATATCAGCATGGTCTCAGAAATTGTTCAAAGTGTTTTAATACATTGGTGAGAGGTCGCATTTACGTGAACAAGAACATGCACTAAGAAGGAAAAGTAAGCCAAAGTCGAAACTGGGTGTATCATGGACTTGGTACAACATGCGCTGCGACAATTGAGTGATTGTCGACATCATTTTGGAACACAGTTGAACTTCAAGTACGTTGCGAAACTTGCTACGCGACGATGCTAACATCAAGTGTGTGTTGACCGAAGTTTGACCCCATGACACGCACTGGACTGGCGCATTACCTTAGCAACCCTTTTCTTTCTTGGTCCGCGCTTCGATCTCGTAAATTTGTTATTATATCCGGCGGTACTGTAATAACACAACTTGTATCCAACTCTATAATGGCTTTGAATATTTCAACATCGTTTACTTAGTGTGCTGCTTTTCTAATAACGCAAATCTGTTTACAGTATTGCACGGGCTCTAAATATTTCAACTTTGCAATGTATTGCTTTTATAATAATTACGCAAACTAAGTTATTTTTATTATTGTTGGGACACTAACCTGGGCTATTGGGTTCTGTGAATATTTCAATATTACCGACTTGATAATTCGTTGCATTCGTAATTATTACGCAAATATAGACATGGGTGCATTTAAATCATTGAAAAAGATAGTCAGGTCCAGGAGCCAGGTGTCTAACGAAAGTCGAGAAAATATTTTAAATACTTGTGACTCATCGGTGAATTATTTTATTCAAAATAAAGTGAATATGTAATATTAACCATACAATAACATACAATATCATGCGTAATGTTAAATTTTTCTATAATAAACTCACAGCGCACTTCGATCGCATTACTCGCGTACATTCGACTGAACTCTAATAACCATGTGTTTGAATTACGTGCGGCAATTGGCAATGACCTCAATGAGTTCACACACTGACATTTAAATTCGGGCCACCCAGTTTGACGCAAAACGATATAGTTACTTAACATTTGTTCAAAAAATCGGTAAACTCTCGCGAAGAGTTAACTGAAAGGCAACGTCGTTTTTGACCAAAAAAAAAACACGTCAATACAAGATTATGTGTGCAAGGTTAGATTTATAGAACGTACATGACCGCTTAACTCTGTTTTTTTTTTAATAATCATGTCGCACGTGAAACACAGGAGACATTTTAGTTCGTCCATTTCTTGTTTACCGATCTTGAACTTTTTGTCTGAAATGCGATACAAGTAAAGAATAAACATTTATGATACCCACCGTTGTAAAATCAACAAGAGGCTCGAATCAGGAAGGCTCGGCTATTTAAAACTTCGTAAATAACATTCTTTTCATGTGGTAGACTTTATTCAAGTGTAACAAACGTAAGTGAAATGTATGGACGAGTCATAATACTTGTACCTTCGAAAGTTACGACTTTTACTCTTGGAATTGGTGATAAATACATGCATAAAATACAACATTGTTTCACGCAACAACAATTCGTATACAGCATTGGACTTAGTATTTCCATGCCAGGGATGCTCGTAACCTGCTCGATTTAAAAACAGCTATTTGAAACAAAGACTCATTGAATCACAAAGGAAACTCTTAAGTATGTATTTCACACCTTTCCTACGACCGCGGTTGTAACCGGTACCGGTGGCCACCGCGATTGAGACCCCTAATTATAAGCAGTCCGCGGCTCTCCCCGGTGTATCGCGGAGAGCCGCGGTGATTACCGCGGTGAACCGCCCGTTTGATTTCCTACTCTCCCCTTATACAAAGTAAATAGTAACGAATTTGACTAATGACAAATTTATTATTATCCACTGTGCAAATTAAATATTAGCCACTGTGATTAATATAAGTTAAATATTATCCAATGTGGTTAATAATATAATAGCTATTATCCACTATAGCTAATAATAAATTAACAATTATCCACTATGGCTAAATTGGAAATGGTGAGTTTCTTTGAGCAGCAACACTCTGGGTTCATTGATTTCCAGATCAACAGGTTGCATGGCTGCAGGTGAGCTAAGTGAGCTTAGCAGAGGCAGCAATATCTACATGTCTTTGGCCAATTGTCCTATAAAAAATGAGTAACGTAACACATGTATGTGTAACAACATGCAGCCTGTGATGGCCATGCAGACGGAAAACACCGGAACTTTCCAAATTTGCAGTATATTTTATAACACAGTATAAGAGAGTAATATTACTCGGCTATAATCATTAATTATATTTAATTCTGTTTTATGCTGGTAAAATGATGGATGTTATAATATATAGAAAGTTTGTTAAATGAGAAAGTCACTGAGTAAAGGGAATCAGTACAAGCCAGTAGGCTGGTTGGCGATCCGCTCCGCTCAAAAACAAGCAACATGTTTTTTGGCTGTTTCCATGGTGACATAAACGTGAAGCTGACGTCGGTTTATAACTAATACGAAGTTCGCAAACACCATTCAGTCTTTAGAAGTCACTTAGTTTAGTAGTAGGACCACAGTTACTCTCTCCTAGTAGAGTGACTGTGCTAGGACGTATTCTGCTGTTACATTTATTATTTCCAACCGTTTTGCGATAGCATTTTTTTAGAATGAAGCGTTTCCCGGAAATGCTGGAAAGCGAAATAACGAAATGGTAAATATTTACCTAAATTGCAGTGTGTTGACCTTCATAACAATATACTTCATAATGCAAAACACTAGTCACAGTGAGTAATTTAAATATACGACTCCTAATCGAAAAATATGACCACAGTCCAGAATTTCAGACGGATATTAAGCAACCTAAGAGCATATCAGAAGCATTTACTCTAAAATATAAAAAAAGAACTGCAGTCAAAAGTCAAGAATGCCAGCAAATAAAGGACTCTGTCCCACAATCCTTTGTGCGCGTTATTACGGGCACGCGCAAAACTGTACCATGCTTGTCAAATCTGGGTCAAATATACAGTACGCTACTATCTTGCCACAGATTGTTTAGTAGTGGAGTGTTCGGTGACCATTGAATTAGCCCGTGATTCATATTTTATGTGTATTTTTTTATTCATCAATTTTCGTGACTGACAGTACTGCCCAAATTTTAGTCAAAAAACGCAACTGGTGAAACAG